AAAGGAAAGAGAATATCGAGGTTTCAGTGTAACTCTTATGTTAAAATTAGTGCATTTACAAATAAATTTAGTAGTTACATCAGATCAAATCTACCAATGCAGAACAGAACACTAATTGGCAGCTTTTGGTCTGAGTGGTCAACGTGAACATCACAACCTTTGATTAACTTACCCAAGTGTATTTATCATAGCTATATCCTAGACTTCCTTTGAAGTACATGGATTATCCTGTTTTATACTAATGACTCTCTATAATAAAACTATGTAAGTGGATTGTGACTTGTCCAAGGCCGCCAAGCAGGCTTCATGGCCAGCAATTCAAACCAATGTAACCCCGACTCAATCAATTTGTTGTACCTGCTTGTATATTACTTGGTGGTGGAAAGTGCTGTCAAGTCACAGCTAATTTATGGCAATCCCGTAGGTCTTTCAAGACAAGAGTCGTTCAGAGGTGGTTTGCCATTGCCTGCGTCCACATCATGACCCCATTCCTTGGTGGGCTTCCATTCAAATACTAGCCTGGGCTGACCCTGCTTAGCTTCCAAGATCTGATGAGACTCGGCTAGCCTGGGCTATCCAGGTCAGGGTTCTATATCTTATATTTTAATAGTGAACTCAGGATATATCTTTGAATACTTAAATCCAGTGACTGGAGCTGTGAATGGGCAAGACAAATCTTTCAAGAAACCTGAAAAGGGCCCTAGGGTTGCAGAAAAATGTGAAATCTTTTTTTAAAAATAAGCTGGGCAGCTTTAAAAAGCTGAAAATGATAAAAGGAGTGCCTGTAGCTTTAAAAGACAGATTCCTGCAGTGGCTGTTGCTAGGCAACCATAGTATTCCAAGCTTGGTTCTGTCAGTAACATAATACAGAAAAGGGGGCAGGGGTGCTGTGATTCCCAGAGAGCTGCCACTGCTGCTGCGGGGGAAGAGGAAGTAGGTGGGTGGCTGGGAGCACTGCCACCATCACTGCTGCTGCTGTGCGGGGTGAGGGAAGAAGCAGGCAGGAGGCTGGGAGAGTGATGGGGGCAGAAAGAGAGAGTGATGGGGTGGAGTCGAAAGAGAGAAAGAGTGATGAAGTGGGGAGGCAGAAATACAAAGGGAATGATGAGGGGGTAGAAAAGGAGGAAGTAACATGCATGGAGAAAAGATAGAGAGTAAGAAAAGGGGGGCAGAAGGGAGAAAGAGTATGAAAGAGGTAAAGGGAAAGGGGAGGAAGAAAAGGTGTGAGAAATTGGATAACTGCCGTGCAAGTTTCTTGTGGGTTCCCACCTATTATTTACTGTTATGGCAAAACAAGCATGACTACATTAGACTCTCTGATGTGTGAGTTGTGATTTCACACATTCACAGTCTGATCATATGATGAGGTCTGCAGCATGTTTTTTTTTACTTCCCCCATGCCTACATGACAATAATCACATTTTTTTTCATGAAATGTGGCTGCTTTGCTTCTGGGAGGCAGCAGGCCCCTGCCTCCCAGTATTCACGGATTTTGCCGTTCGTGGTGATCCCGGGAACAAAAGCTCTATGAATGGCAAAGCTCTACTGTATTGAGTGGAATAAAGCAAGGCAGTATATTAGTAATAGTTATTAATATAGCTATAGTCATGCTTTTTAAATCACAGTTTAAAAAATAAACTTCCTTTCCAACTCAGCTGTCCTATGAATTACAAAGCATACTTCACCATTTTAATTAAAAGTTGTTTAAGTTTACTTTTTCCCAAAACAATTGCTTTCTAAAAGCAATTAAAGAGGAAAGCTTTACATTACTCAAATCAATAATACTTTTAAACCCCGCAAAATATTAAAATCAGTCTATAATCCTAGATTGTTTAAATGAAGATCTGCACTGCATTACAGTGAACAGGATATAATGCTTCAACTCTTTTTTAAGACATGAATGGAATCTGTGTCTATTTAATAAAGCACAGTCAGCACTCTATAGATTTGCTCATGTGACAATTAAATGATCAACAAGTGAAACATGTTTATTGCACATAAAAATAGTCATATGTGTTTTAGGTATGACAATGTGCACTGTTTGCATGTTCTGCACTACTGTATGCATTTAGTGCTTATTCTATATAATCTCTCCTCCACTCCACATTTATAAATAAACTGGGCAACCACTAACATAATCTCATTTACTATTTGGTTTTAATACAACACATGATTATTCATTTACTGTTATCTCCATTTTGCACTCCGATTTTATTATGTAGAATGATTATGTTTCTGCCATTAGGTACTTTGAAAAATAGTTCTCAATATGCAAGCTTGTGTTTCCCAAAGCACTTTGCTATGAACAATAACTTGGGTACAAGAACTGGGAAAAGATTCATTGGAATTTCAAAGTAAAACACTGTGCATCATGTAATTCTACTAAAATTAGGTTAGTGGCAAATTTCACTTATCATTTGGAACATATTTCTGCCCTTGGACACTAAGACAAGTTAGAAAACATACAGCAACTTTTTTGGGACTGATACAACATACGGCTTATGTTGACATTCAACAGTAGTTTGTACATGGCTGCTGTTAACAGCCAAAAGTGCTAAGGTGTAGGTAAACTGCATAGGGTATTTTCCCAGCCATCACTAGAAGCTGTTACACTGAAATAACTAAAATTTTTTTACATTTTTCACTATAAAGAGGGTAGTATATAAAAATCTACTCATGATTTCTTTAAAAAAGCAACACAGGGTTAAAGTTGAAATCTATTTTCTAAACACTGTGAAGTAGTAGCAGCTATATCAGTCACTTTTAAGTGAATGCATTTCAAAGGCAGAAGAGTCAGTGTGCCTGGGTGTGCAAGGGATATTGAAATAACTGTCTAGGATTGCTGACTTATTCTGTCTTATTCTAAAGCCTAGAATTTAGGGACCCTGATTATGCAATCAGGGTGCTGCCCAAGCTTCTGCAAAGCTTCCTGTTACCTTGCGAGTCTGCGAAGTAAAACTCAGTGCCAGCAATCCAGACAGCCACATAATTTGTTTAAACTGCTGAAGTCTAGATCTCCAGGTATTTGTCACTTGTTATTACCTCTGCAGCTCAGACTCATTGGCCAGGATTCAAAGGGCCTTTTCAACCTGTGAAATGGCCTGTGCATGGGCAACACAGCTTCTGGCTAAACAGCAACTGCTTACTGCAACAAAGGATTTTGTGAAGTAATCCTAAAGTTTAGAAACACCTTGTCAGGCAGAATGGGGGTGAAATTATCCATGAAGTTATAACGTGGCTTTTAAGAAACAAGATTGTTCTGTCACCTTAGCCTTGACTTTCAATGATACTGAGCCTAGGATATCAGATGGAATAGCTAATAATACACAGAAGTAGGATACTTTTTATGCCTTGTTTGAGTGCCATCAGCCTCTCCACGTTGGTGTTATTAACTATGCAAGAGACACTGAAAAGCTCTGATGATTATTCTGGAGCAGAGGATTTAAGATACTTATTGGTTTACAGTAAAGACAGCATCATGTTTCAGATTACCAGGCAGTTGTGAGATATGTAATACATTCTAATTAAGGTTTTTAGCCATCTTTGAAGGCATTTTAAAGGATTTTACGAAGGAAGCTTTGTAAGCACTCTAGGAAGGGCAAATTGAAGCAAAAGCCTGAAGATTCAAGTTGAAAACTGCAGATGATGCTAAGCATATTAGCTGACCCGTCTTAAGGTGGGGGGAGGTTTCCCACTTACAGATTTGGCAGTTGCAGAAACGTACTGGACAACCATCTCACGTTTTGTAGTCAAGTCCTTGTTTCGTAAAGGAGCTTTCCGTTCTTCATTCAGGTTCATGTCTTCCTGTAAAGAAACAGGCACAACACTGCCATGATTGAATTATTACTTCATAGTTTTCATTAATCTCCATGGGTACAAAGGAGAAGAATTCCTCAACATTCAAGGAAAAGGAGGATGAATGTTTACTTCAGAAAAGTTATTTTACTTCATTAGGCTAAACCATCAATTTACAGGAGTATCTTTAATGCACAAATGCTTTTATTTAGCCAGGACATTTCCCGCCTATCCCCTAACTCATGGCTAATTAACTGAAGCAGTAAATAAGCTATATCAGGGGTGGCCAAACTTGCTAAACATAACAGCCACACAGAATAAACATCCGATGTTTGAGAGCTGCAAGACATGAACAAAATTTTCAATAAAAATATGAAAATTTGCTTTTTATTAACAATAAATTAGACTGTGTGAAAGAGCCGCACGTGGCTCCCGAACTACAGTTTGGCCACCCGTGAGCTATATTATCCTCATGTGCAGGGCTATTTTGGGGCAGGAACGCACAGGAACGGAGTTCCGGCTGGCTTCAGAGTTGGCCACTCCCACTACAGCCAAAACCTCTGCCTTTGTGGCTACAGAGGGAAGGCCTGGAGAGCGACAAACACACAGCGACTCCAAGGCAGGCGGGCCAGGGGGGCCCTGGAAGGATCGGGGAGAAATGCCTCCCCGTGCCTTTCCCGGCCTGTCCAAGGGCCGGCTTGCCCAGGCAAGCCAATGGAATGCATGGGGTGTGGCCTAATATGTTAATGAGCTATGATGTTGGGGTGTTGCCTAATATGCTAACAATTTTCTGCTGTTGGGTGTGGCCTATTATGCTAATGAGTTCCTGCAAAAAAAGCCCTGCTCATGTGTACATACAGTACGGCCATGGCTCAGTGGTACAACATCTGAAAGTAGTTCAGTGGAACTTCTAACCAAGACCCTGGAGAACTGCTGCCACTCAGAATAGACAATACCAACTTTAACAGGTCTCTCAGTATAGGACAGCTTCATGTGTTCACTTATTTGCATTCCAATGGCATTGGATATGCACGTGGGTTAACAGACCAAGAGCAGCATTTTCCCTACTTACAGGGTCAAAAAGTTCCAGGTTTAAAGCTGTGGCTGGTTGGCTTAGTCAATTAAAATTGAATCTGACAGACGGAGGTCCTGTGCCTGAGTCGGAGTGGTCCGAGGGTAGGGATTCCAGTCCTGACTTCCGATGGGCCGTCGCTGGTGCCAGTCAGAGGTTAGGAGTCTGGGAGTGCTCCTGGATGCCTCCTTAACGATGGAGGCCTAGGTAGCAGCCACTGCTAAGTCAGCCTTTTATCATCTCCGACTGATTAGGCAGTTGGTTCCCTTCCTCGAATGCAATGACCTGGCAACAGTGATCCATGCATTTGTCACCTCGAGATTAGATTACTGTAATGCTCTCTACATGGAGCTGCCCTTGTCCCAAATCCAGAAGCTGCAGCTGGTGCAGAATGCAGCGGCCAGGCTGTTGTTGGCCCTCCCCATGCGGGAGCACATCCATCCTGCGCTAAAAGCTCTGCATGGCTGCCCATAGCATACTGAATTCAGTTCAAGGTGCTGGTTCTTACCTTTAAAGCCCTATATGATCAGGGACCATATATACCTAAGGGACCGCCTTTCCCCACATGTTCCCCGGAGAGCACTACAGTTGGGATCCCAAAATCGCCTGGCTCTGCCAGGCCCCAGAGAAGCCAGGGCCTTTTCAGTGGCGGCTCCACACTGGTGGAATGAGCTCCCAGACGACATCAGGGCCCTGCAGGACCTTTTACAGTTCCGCAGGGCCTGCAAGACAGAGCTCTTCCACCAGGCTTTTGATTAAGGAGCTGCACTATATAATTGAGGCCCTGGCCCCAATATTTACACCATCATCAACATCAATATTAATATCAATATTAACATCATTATAAATAACCAGATATAGCCCAGACTACACTGGCAGCTGGTTGTTTGTACTGCCCGCCATCACATATGAATCATCCTAGTTCTAGCACTAGAACTTTGTATGTTTTATGTGTATATTGTTATGATTTTAGTTAAATTTGTTTTAGTTGTGCAATATCTTATGTAAGCCGCCCTGAGCCTGCTTTGGTGGGGAGGGCGGGGTAGAAATTGATTAATTAATTAAATAAATAATAAATAAATAAATTCAGTCACTTCTTTTTATAAGTAACCAGCCTCCGATTATTTTTCAGGAGTCCAAGAGTTCCACAGCATCACTAATTAAGTTCCAAGTCCTCACTCACTAGGCTAACAGTGTAAAGTTAACGATTTAAGAGCAACTCAGCTTTGTTTGCCAACAGCTTCCACGTACCCAAAGACGCTAACAAAGATTTTAACCAGAGGGGAAGCAAGTAGGTGCGCCGAGTGGGCAATGGCCAGGCTCAGGACCCATCGTTCATTCTACTGCCACCGGCTAGGTGCAGATGCTGCTGGACAGTAAGTTCACCCTGGTGGCGGTAACTGGCCAGTGGTGCTGAAAAGTTGCCAGCCATGCCTGTGACCCACTACATACTCTGATGCCACCCGCTAGACATTGTTGCCTGCTCGCTACCACTGGACTGGTTCCACTGGGTTAGCAGTAGCACCTGGGCAATAGTGGACTAGTTTATGGGTCTAGGGTAAGTTGTGGGCATAGCCACCGCCCACCAGCCACTGCTCCTACTCACTGCCACCATACTAGGTGAAAAAGGCTGCACGTCCCAGTCTTGGTCACCACCTGCTCAGTGCTGCTAGCCACTTGCTGCCGCTGGGCTAGGTGAAATGCATTGTGGATCACAGTCATGCCAGCTACCTCAGTTTTCTGGGCAACCAAGCTTGTGTGTATTATATAAGTTGTATCTAAACAAGATACTCCAAGTGACCTATCACAGAGTATCTGATGAGAGCATTAACTTGTTTAAAAATTCTAATTCTGTATTTTCAATTCCTTGGGAACTGGAAGAGTGCAGAAAGGAATTTGTATTTTTCTTTTTCCCCACGTGCACTCCATTGCAGTACAAAAGCAGAAAAATCACAATGGGGAAAAGGGAAGTGCAGATATATTAATTGTAGTCTATTCAAAAAACAGAGTGTGTAAAAGAAAGAGGCCAGATACTTGTAGTCTCAAATAAGTTAATTGTGTAAATAATTATTTGTAGACACAAGCCTGGCATCTCCACTACATCACGCCCAAGGAAATTAACAAGGAAGAGTCAAAAGAAAATAACATTGTACGTGTTCCATTATGGCATTCTCTGCATAAAAATAAGTAGTGCTCTTTCCAGGAAGATTAGTTAATGACACTACACTTGCAAAGTCAAACCAATGTTATATCTAGGTCCCAAAAAAATAAGTCACCTGGTGTTTCCATTGTTTCATGAGTGGTTGTATCTTTTTAATGCCTGTAATGCTAAGTATGGCAAGTTATACTGGAAGCCTACAAAACTAAAAATGGTCTGTGACAGTTTTCTAGACTGGGTTATGCTCTCCTGAAGGACCTAGCCTGTATGATGAGAGCACTTCAAAATCCAACACCACTGCTTGAAACATATGCTGGGGAGGTATACAGGAGTTTAGGATTCCCCAACATGGTGCCCGTGGGCTATTTCAGAAAGGAGTGGGGCCTTCATAAGGCAGGTCTTGTTATTAGTGGCCCTTATTCAAATGAACGTTTTCCATAGATGCAACAGCAGCAGCTGCCACTGGAGGATCAGGAAGATCCAGGTTTGTAGTTCCATTTGCTTTTCAGGGTTTCTTTTTATTCTCTGTTCTCATCCCCCCTCCCCCCAGGGCTTTCTTTCATTTCTCTTTATTCCCCTTCTGCAATTATTTTGCAAAGTATGACAGTCAGTTTGGCTCTGTCTCCTGTGGCAGCTATTTAGGGTGCCATCCCCTCTCAAAATTCAAAAGGTGCCTGCAGCCTTTGCTCTAGATTGTACAATTCTCTGCTTCAGGGGGCTGTCACATACCTCCCTTTTTACCTTTAGAAACCTGTGTAAATGATTTTATTCTGGAAAACATATGAAGTTTTCATGTCACAAAATTGCTTCATTCTATATTCTGGACTGCTGATTTTATGACTGATTGCTGTTTTTGTTCTTGCTTTTATTCCATTGTAGCTTTAAATCTTTAGGTTCTGTAAATCTGTTATTGTAATGAAGGATACATCATTAAATAATTTTTCATCAGCATTCCCAAAGCAACTATTATGCGCTTCCTAACCCTCCATCTGACCAAACTCAGAGATCTCATGCATCTAAGATCCATTTGCTAAACAGCATCTGCAGTTGCTCTAGAGAGTGATGAATTATCTTTAACTAAGAAATAATAAGCAAATAACACAAAAATCTCAGTTAAATAGTTTAGAATCCTCCCCCGCCAAAAAAACCCTTACCATCATCTTTTCAAACAGGTCCATAACTTCTTTCTCCGATAAATTCATGCAACGCTCATCAAACAATGGCTGAACCACTGGCAATTCACTGATAGAGGCTGGTGTGTCAATGGGATGCTGAATGAGAAGTTTCTCCTTTTTGCCACCTGATTTCCTAAAACTGGTTATTCTATCACGCTGAAGGGGGAAAAGACAGAATATTTTAAGAATTTACATGTAAGGGAACACATATTCTCACTACACCACATGCCAGTAACACATTCATCATGCCACAAAGGTAAGTAAGCCATTCCACCACAATTCTGAGACTGTATTGCAAGTTCTTCATTTTGTCCAGGCATGGTATTTGCCTCAGTTAAAACTGCAAACTTTTAACACATAACTATAACCTATAAATCATGCCTTAATTTAGATGCACAATTAACAAACATTACCTGGGACTGGGTCTGTGTGTACTCTGAATAGTTCCCAAATTCTGCACTTAAGTAATTTATGTCTTAAACCAAGAAAAGCAGAGTTCTGCAACCTTGTATAAATTATGGAAAGTGTGCTTAGTTTGAATAAATTTTATTGCAGCACTAATCATTAGAAAGAACCCAAGACAGCACTACAGATTTCATCAGTTACTGTCTGTACTCTTTCGGGAATATTTTATTTTTTTAAAAAAACTAAATAAAAATCGGAATTACAGATGGATGCTCCATTTGCCCTCAGTACAAAACTCCATGCTTGAATAGTATGTTCACAAACTTAGAGTGTACACACGGCCCTGAATATATACATCATAACTTAGAGGCACCACCTGATTCTCCTCTAGGCTACAAACTGTTCAACTAGATATCAACTAGCTATTTCCAAAATGGCAGAGCCATGGCTTTATATGATGTTCTTCAGGAGAGGCCTGAGTCACAACACTGAAAAATTCAAACCTACAATTAAGTACAGTCTCTTCATTAGTTTTCATTTTCATACACACAAAGTTAGCATTTATGTGGCATCCCAACAACCCTTTTGCAAGTTTGACAGGCATTAGTTGAAGAGAATATTAAAGTCAGTAATGCAAGTATCATGATTTAGTCAGTTCTGTATCTTTCAGTAACACATGCATGCTTGCATATTAGTAGAAAAGAGCAGTCTACTCCTACTTCTGCTGAAAATGAAGGGCTACTAGATGCTCTATGAAAGGGCAGGTGAGAACATGAACTGCCTAGCATCTGGTGCAACAGCAGCATAACCAACTACGGGAGATTATACTGGAGTTCCACAAGAATTGCTCCATGAGAGTGTAGAATGGGAGGTATGTCCAGCTTCTTAAAATGAAATATCTTTTTTATAACAGCCATTAAACTGAACATAAAAAATGGGCTGTAACCTTAGACGTTGTGCTCAGAGTCAAAATTTACTTCCAGTAACTTTAGAGTATAGGTGGCCAGTTTGTGGCATTCAAAATTCAGTGATACACCTTGATAGGAACTAGAAAGTTCATGGCCAAAATGCAGCACAGAAATCGCTCTTCAGTCTTGCCTCCCTTTCCTCCACTGCTCTCCAGCTTAGCAGTCCAGAAGTAACATATTACCAAGGCACAGAAGGCCAGTACTCTTCTTTACTTTGGACTTGTCCTGTGGTACGCTTGCCAAAAAGGCTAGCTACCATTGCTCTCAAGTTCCTCATCACTTAGGGCCACATCTCATATTACTTTTAAAAAGTGACTCTCCCTAGAGTCATATCCAAGTGTCTGTGACAGTACCAGAGATTTTTTTTTTTTAAATGTCCTAGCTTTTCGCCTATGACTGTTTGGCTACACTGAAGAAGCGTGAGACATGACAGAAAGAGGTATTTTAAATGAGGAAGGGGGGAAAACACCAAAAAGGAAAACAGTGTTTCTAAGATTTGAAAACGAAGAATTAGCCAGTGGAGCATTTCATACCCTTCATTTTTCACTGCCCAGTTTCTTTATGTACAATACAAGCAGCATGCACTAGAGATAAATACAAACCCAGCACATGAGAATCTTACCACATCATCTGCCAAGGTTTTTATCTGAAGGTTCTATTCAAATCAAGGAAAGAAAAAGCATGTTACTCAGCACTTAAAATAACAAAGTGCTTTTCTCATACAATTTGAATAAAGCCTTTTTTGCAATTCTTTTCTCAATGATGAAATAACCACCAGTCTTGTTAGACACCATGCATTTAATACTCCCACAACATTTGATTCTTGACCACCTTCCACTAGGATACTTTACCATCCTACATTATCACCATTAGCAAACGAGAGCGGCTTGCATAAACAAAACAAGGAGGGTAAGAGCTTGGACATACAGGTGAAAGAACGCAAACCAATCAGAGAACAAAGAATATATTAAATAAGCTATAATGTGAAATCTTTCTGAAACCGTTTTGACAAAGAAACAGGCTTTAAGCAAATAAACGGTTTCTGCTGCACTACAGCCTAAACAATGGAGAAAATTTTAAAACCAAAATGATACTCTAAATCCATTTTGAGCGATGGAGAGCAGGGCTCCAGACTATCCCTGTTAGACCAAAGGAGACATAATCCACATTTTATTAAAATAGGAGCCGCTGGCAGAGGGAGAGATTTGCATCAGGGCCAGGGGAGGAATATGAGAGCTTCCCAATACTAATAACTCCCCTCGGAGCAGCGGTTTGGCCCATGCAAACTTGAATTGTGTCCCCAGTGGGGCAAACAGTACTATCGATGTGGGTCAGTCACAGTGGGAAAACTATACAGGGGATAAGGGGTTTTTTATTTTTTTTATTTAACTGTACTTCCACACTGCAACCTGATCCAAAACTGGGTCCCTTCCTTTGCTGTTGTTACTAGAATTTTTGAAAGGCACGTAAGGTTTTCTGCCATCATATCCACTTTGGACCTTAAAAGCTTCAACAAAGGAACTTTTTGACTGTTTGGCTTGAGACCGAGAGGTGATACAGGAAGTGGGTTAGCTTTCATTCTCCTCTCACACTTTCCCCTTCCTGCCAGAACCATATTTTATAATTTGACAGCTGGTCCAGCTCAGAATGACACAGAAGTGTTCTGGATAACCACTTGACTTGACAAGATAAAGGAAGATTAACAAATGATGAGTACCTCTGTTTCCACTTACCTGGTACCTGACACACTGAATCCATTTACGATCCATTTATGCATACATCCCACGTTTTAGTACAGGGATAAAAACAGGCAATTGTTGCTTAAGTGACTATCACATTATATTGCTGGTGGAAACATTTATCTTGAAAAGCCACTGTGGACTGAGAGGTGAAGCATTTCAAATTTAGCGTACTTCAAGTTATCAGAAGTACTTAATCACCAAAGAACTCTTACTTTGAGAATAGTTAATGCCTCTACTCCCTCTGTAACGTATGACAAATGTGTGTCTTTCTAAAAAAACTTCCTCAGTTCCAAAAGTTGTTTGTCATAGAGCATAAAGAGTTAGTGTTGGAGGGAAAAACCACAGCAAAAAAAAAAAAAATCCCTGTAGGCACAAATCCTTGAATCTTAGCCAAAAAAGATACCAAGCACTCCAATGTTCAATTTTCCAACAACCCTTTGTAAAACATATACATGACAGGGACAGATAATGATTTGGCGCTATAGTCTCTTCTTCTACAATATATTGATCCTGAGTACACAATAATGCTGCCTTTCACATGACAGTTCCTTTCTGAATGAGGCCTGGCCTATTCTAAGCAGTTGTGCCATGACAAACAGACTTTGGACAGAAGACCAGGGTTCCAACTCCAAGCGCTCAACATAGGGATCCAAAAGGCAAACTATAGCTTTGCATTTGAAGTGGGAATTTACCTAACTGCACTACTGATTCTAAAGCTGCAGTCATAGGCACCTTTACCAGCAGGCCACATTCACTGAAGTCAGATTAACCTTTAAGTATGCACATTTAGGATTGCCCTAGCCATCTAAACAAACAGTAAGCTTTGTGCACTGTTTTAAAGTGTAAGTAAACGGATGCTTCACTTTTAAGTCCACAGCAAACAAGAGAAAAGGCTATTACAATACAACTTGCATTTCCTTTCTTTCAACTATGACTGATTAACTTCTCAAGTGACAGGAGAACAAGTCTTTAGTGTTCAATCAATGTTGCCATGTGAAAGCATACATAATTCAAGCTGTAACCAGTCAATTATTGTAGCTAGTGTCCCTGAAGTATGACTTTTACTGAAGTGGAGCTCCATTAACAATCTGAACTCTAATCTTGCTCTAATTGCAATACAGATTCAGAACTTTGTCTGAAATTCACTTTTAAAAGGCTGAAAGAAAACATAAGGTACTTCCTTTTAAACACAAGTCTTCAGGAAACTGCAGATTTTAATATGCTCAAAAAACCCAATAAGCAAACAATTTCTATCAGAGCATGGCCCATTTCTCTGTGGAGCACACTTACCGCAAAACTAAAAATTGCAATCTGAAGGGAAATCATAACATTTTCAGCACTGTTCAGCCTAGGAAAAAAATCCTATCCATAGAAACCTGCACATTTCCTGGATCCCTCCCCCCCCCCCCCAATTTTGAAATAAAAGGGTGGGAGAGAGAAGAGCGCAGCCATGTAGAAATTTTTATTTTCTCAACTAAACTTTCTATTTCAGTTTTGGAGGGCATTTTGTTTATTTCTAGAATTTGTTGTATGCACAAAAGTAACCTGTAACAGATTTATTAAAAATACACAATGCTACATCAACTAATCAGTAAACCACTGAATGTCAATCCGCACACAAGAACCTTTTTTTTAAAAAAAAAAGTTAATTGTGTTAAAAGTGGTGGCTGTGGATTCTATCACGTGGAATTAACTCCAACTCCCCACTAGGAGTCTCTAAAGGACTAGCAACCGTGTAATGCACCATGAGAAACAGGACAACGCAAAGAGCAGGGCAACATTTCTGAGCCAACCACACCCACAACTTCTTAAAAGAATGCACCCACGCCAAGCCACGAGAATATGTTTGTGGGAGGAAACAACTGTATACAAAGCACCAAAGATTACATTTAGCATAGCCACTAGCCATGTAACTGGTAAGACCTCAAATTGCCTAATTATACTTTCTCAATACAACATAGGTTTGTAACTAGCGTTAAGGTGGTGCTGGTGGTTGTTACTCCGCCTGTGCTAGACAATTTTAGGCCTGATGAGCAGGCTTAAAATTACTGGTCATCTATGTATCTGTTACCTATAAGCAATATACCTTTTATCTTAACTCACTCTGAATGTTACTGCAATCATGGGGGGGGAATAATCTTATCACATGGAAATATGCTTCCACGGGGACAAAAACATTATGAGCAGTGATTCTATCAGGGGTCATTTCCTGCAGGAGCGCACAGGAGCGGAGCTCTGGCAGTAAAGAGCCCAGAGGGCGGGCACATGCAACAAGCCCCACCCCCTGCTCCTAGTAGCTCTCAGTCAGAGCAAGAAGCAGCCAGGTAAGCTGCAGAGTCCCCCCCCCAGCCCCCCAGTCGAAAACAGTCCAGTGGCACCTTTAAGACCAAGTTTATTCAGGTACAAGCTCTCCCTCTTCTGTGAGGACAGATCTGCATGCCCCCCCCTCCCAATAGCTAGCAATCCAAAACAGTCCAGTGGCGCCTGAGTGGTGGGTGTTGCCTTCTGACACACTTCCGGTGATGTCAGGGTGTGTGACATAGGCAAATAAGTGATGCTAATGAGTTCTGCTAATGAGCTCCTGCGCCTCTTTTTCTACAAAATGACCCCTGGATTCTATCATGATGGAAGTGTGGAATATCATTGAATAATCTGCTTTCTCCACATAGATAAAATGGCCATTTTGTTAAATTAACAAAATAGCCCTTTGTTCAATATTCACAAACACTTACATCTTAAAAGGAAGGCAATTCAGCATGCCACAGATGGCTGAACTGCCAACTTCTGGACAGTTTAAGCAAGCTAGGTAAAGGTAATGGTTTCCCTTCCTCGAAAACCAGTCGAATCCGACTCTAGGGTTGTGGTGCTCATCTCCATTTCCAAGCCGAAGAGCCAGCACTGTCCAAAGTCATTTCCGTGGTCATGTGGCCGGGGTCTTTTGGGGCCGGATCATGCCGGAGCACTGCTCCAGCAGCCCAGGAGCCCACACAAATGGTGGCAGCAGCAAGCCCCACCCCTAGCGCCCCGCACTGAAAGCGCTGCGGCTCGGGAGAGGCCCAGAGAGCCCTGCCACTGGGTCCCCCAGGCCTGCGCAGAAGCGCTGCGGCTCATGGGAGACCAGAGAGGCCCGCCGCCGAGTCCCCCGGGCCGCGCAGAAGCGCTGTGGCTCGGGGAGGCCGGAGAGCCCTATCACTGCATCCCCCGGGCCCGGGCAGAAGCGCTGTGGCTCGGGGGAGGGCGGGGAGCCCCGCCGCCGGCTTTCCCGGCCC